ACTAAAAACTGATGGACAGGGGTCGGAGTGAGCGGGCAGAGCCGTTGCTATAAGGACAGCTGACAACAAACAGCTTAGGGAAGACCTCTGCGACTGAGAATTGCCTGACTCGCCAACAGATAAGAAACACTCTGAAAAAGACTGTAGTCATCTTCCTCATCAGATCCACTTTGTGCTTGGTGTTTTGGCAATACGGAGCCCAGGCATTAGGCATTATTTCTCACAAGGGAAAGGACAGAAGAATCGCTGATTGTTACCACGTGATGTAGTCAATGTGCGTGTAGGCAGAAAACAGCCTGAGAGAGCAGCTTAGGAAAATGCGTTTATAATTTCATAGCTACTAGAAAGGAAGAGTTGAAACTCTTGGGGGTCTGTTAGGGCTATTTTCCCAGTCTTTTGCAGCCCTTGCCCTTCGACTTGCTCCGAAGGGGTATGTGGCTGTATGTGGAGGCCCAGATGCCTGCTTGCCTGATGGTGGATGCGGGGTGGGTAGCAGACCAGCGGGGAAGGGGACCTGGAGATCTGGGTCCTGGTCTCAGCCTTGCCACTAAGGTGTTCTGTGATCTGCAGCAAGTCTGCAGAGACTCGGGGGTCAAGAAGGTCGTGTAGCAGCATTAACTGCAACACTAATGATCTCTGAAAGATCATCCAAAAAAAATTAACTAAATAAAAGATCATCCAAAGACTAAATAAAAGATCACCCCTCAGAAACTGTGATTGATTGATCGGTGGTGGTAGAAAGACCTTTGAAACCACTTGTTTATAGCAGCCACCTGAGTTGTGAATCCCACCTTGGGTTAGAGAATGACTCCATGCTGTTGATAGAGATGGTACTAGAAGGAGCTGACAGCCCAGAGCAGCTGATCTGCCCATATTGGTCACTCCTTGAGGTGTGAGCACCCAGTCCAAAGACAACCTCAGAGAGTGACCGCAATTCAGCCATCAGTAGTTCCCCCCAAACTGGCTTATTACATTCAGTTTAAAAATAAAGTCACCACAGCTTGACAGTTCCCACTGCTATAGAACAGGGGTCAGCAAACTATGGCACATGGCCCAAATTCAGCCCACTGCTTGTTTTGTAAATAAAGTTTTACTGGAACATTGAAAAACAATAAATAAAAATAAAGTCACTCAGTTGTGTCTGACTCTCTTTTACTCCATGTACTATACAGTCCATGGAATTCTCCAGGCCAGAATACTGGAGTGGGTAGCCTTTCCCTTCTCCCAGGGATTCCTGGGATCTTCCCAACCCAGGAATTGAACTCAGGTTTCCCGCATTGCAGGCGAATTCTTTACCAGCTGAGCCACAAGGGAAGCCCAGTCACACCTAATTTACATGCTGGACACTGGCCAGAAGGTCACAACCATGTGCAAATGCAGTTCCCTGAAGACCCAAGGGAGGTCCGGAGACATAATGGCAAGAGTGGGCCACTGAAGACAAACTTGTCCACTCAGCCTTTGGCCCCCAAAGTCTCTTAGAGCAATGCAAGAGTGTTTCTTTCAGCCTCAGTTGGTTCAGAACCCAGGCTCTATTCATAGGTTCCAGACTGAGTCAGATTCATTATAAAGTCTTAAAATGTTCTAATGGACAACGGCCTTTGGGTAAGCCCCTAATCCAACATCCTCACTGCAGATAGGGAACCCAAGAGCCATCTTCCCCTTTGGAGAGTGGGCTTAAAGGGGTCACAGAGCAGCTGCCATTTATACACACATATGTATATGTATAACTAAATCACTTTGCGGTATACCTGAAACAAATACAGTATTGTAAATCTATATTTCAATAAAAATTTAAAATACCTAATGATAATTAGCAATAAAATATAAAATTTGAAAACAAAATAAAAAATGAGTCGTTCACCTGGAGACTTTCTGTGCATGGGACACCTTCCCATTTAGGGGACCAGGTTCAACATGCAGAAAACTTTTTCACTAGGATGTACTGTATTTGGCCTTCAGAGATCAAATGAGGATGTGGCCGGAGATACAATAACGAGTTGGCCGGTAACTGAGCAGCAGTGTATTAGGTCAGACCAAGACAAGAGTGGAAGGGCATCCTACATGGTGAGAAGGTGGGGGTATCAGGGGCACAGCAGCTCCGGGTGTGGGAGCAAAGCAATCCAATGTCACAAATCAGAGAGCTTGAATGTGCTGTTGGCTTGGCAGCTCTGGAACGAACAGTGGTCAGTAATTGGTTCCCATGGGGTATTGTCTGCCACAGATTAGCAATCAGACCAAGACAGTGTTGGTAGGTTTTTTTGTTTGGTTTTAACCACCCTTTGCAAATCTGAGCATTCATGAAAGCCTTTATCTGCGAGTGTGTGGCTGTGACCGTCTGTGTTGATTGACAGCAATCAGCAACATCCTAGGCTCCTGGCAGATGGAGCAGCTGGATGAGCAGAAAGAGAAAAGGGGAGGGGGAATCGGTTGTTTATCAATTAGATTTTCCCTGTTATTCTCAATTAAGTTTACTTGTGTAACTTTTCCATCCTAGAGAACCAGCCATTCTGTTTCAAATAAACAAAGCTGTTTTCCTGGACAGAATGATGATCGGCTGCATTTCAACTTGGCTATTATTGTTTTGGCCATGTTTTCCTCTACTCATAAGCTCAGACTGTGGGGCTCTAGGCTCTCTGAACTGCTAATGGCATGTTGTACAGAGAAAATGACTAGAGATTGCTGTTCTTCTAACTAACTTGGCACCAAAATGAAAGGCAAACCTATTAGAGAATTACAAAAATCCTGGAACTGGAGGATTTTTAGAAACCACCTTGTGAAAATCCTTCTTTTCGTATGACTCCCTCAGACTGGAGAAGAGAATTTGCCCAAGATCAAATGAGTCATTGGTAAAACTGGATTAGAAACCAGGAATACTGATTTTTAGGCAAAGGGTCTTGGATTTTTACATCATCCTGTTTCTCCTACGTCTTAATTTGGATCCTTAATATCAAAGTGAATAGATGGTTTCACTTTTTAAAATTGAGCTATAGTTGGTTTGCAATGTTGTGTTAATTTCTGGTGTATAGCAGGGGTGATTCAGTTATACATATATATGCATTCTTTTAAATATTCTTTACTATTATGGTTTATCACAGGATATTGTATATAGTTCCCTGTGCTTAGATAGCTTCACTTTTCGTTATGAATGTAAATGCCAGGGGGTAGGTGTCATCATTTGAGGTTTCTTGTTAGCAAAAATCCCCGTCTAGAGTTTGGGTCTCCTGTATCAACCCCTCAATTCCCATTTTCCATTGATATATATCAATATGTGTTCCCTTCATTTTCGTCTTTTCCTTTCCCTGCTAATTTGGCTTTTAGGTAGTAACTGTCACTGAGATATGTTTACTTCCATCTTGAACCTTGGCCCAGAGCAGGGTTACTCTTCTTGCTTCTTCTCCAGCCAGTGTCTGGGTCATGGGCGTGAGCCCCACAGGCCCTTTGTCACCACTTGCTGTTGCTTCCCCAGGAGGTGGCTTGCTGAAGGGTGCTGAATCCAGTCTCAGAGCGTTAGAGAACACTACAGCATCCAATGAGAAAAAAACTCTGCCAGGATGCAGTACCACAGTATTTTAAAGCTGCCCTTTAGAGACTTCCTGTTTTCATAGGATTTCAAGGTGCATACACTTGGAGTTCTGTGAACAGCAAATGCCCTCATTGAAAAGAAACTTGACTTAACAGCCTTGGGTAGGGACTTTCCACATGGAGAACTGGTGAAAAGCAATCACTTTGGACTCTGTGGGAGAAGGCGAGGGTGGGATGTTTCGAGAGAACAGCATCGAAACATGTATATTATCTATAGTGAAACAGATCACCAGCCCAGGTTGGATGCATGAGACAAGTGCTCAGGCCTGGTGCACTGGGAAGACCCAGAGGGATCGGGTGGAGAGGGAGGTGGGAGGGGGGATCGGGATGGGGAATACATGTAAAACCATGGCTGATTCATGTCAATGTATGACAAAACCCACTACTATAAAAAAAATAATTAAAAAAATTAAAAAAAAAGAAACTCAGGTGACTGAAAAAAAAAAATGAAAGGAAAAGCAATCACGTCTCTTCCAATCAGAATAAGAAGCCTTTCCAATCCAGATGTGGAATCAGATGCCAGTGGTTGTGTTCATACATAAAGACATAAATAAAATGAGAAGAGATGTTTTCTTAGAGTTAGTAACAGTATATTTCTGTGGGAGCTCTTCTCCAAACAGATGGTGGAAGGAAAAATCTTTCACAAGACTGTAAACTCTGTGAAGGCAGATATTTGTGTCTGTTTTACTCACTGCTGCATCCTTAAGTGCCTCTAATGATGCCTGTTACATAATAAATGATAGATATTTTGTGGGGGTGCTTTTTAACAATATATTTGACATATAACACTGTGTAAATTTACAGTGTACAATGTGTTAATTTGATACACTTGTATATTGTAATAGGATTGCTGTTGTAGTGATAATTAATATCGCTATCACATTACATGGGGCTTCCCTGGTGGCTCAGTGATAAAGAATTTGCCTGCCAGTGCAAGAAATGCAAGAAACGCAGGTTTGATCCCTCAGATGGGAATATCCCCTGGAGAAGGATATGGCAACCCACTCCAGTGTTCTTGCCTGGAGAATTCCATGGACATAGGAGACTGGCGGGCTATAGTCCACAGGGTCACAAAGAGTCAGATATGACCGAGTGACTACACAACAGCAACAACAATGTCACATTACATAATTATCCTTTCACTTTATTAAAATGTCTTTTAAAAAAGATTCCATGTAAGAACCTTCCCAAAGAGAGAGTGTGTGTGTGTGTGTGTGTGTGCATGTGTGTGTGTAAAATGGATTCCTCATGTTAATTCTTTTTTTCTAATCAGTATGCCTCTCCTTTCTATCTTTCTCCTCCTGGCTTTTGATTCACTTCTGTTGACTGTCCACCCTTTTGATTGGTACACCTATAACATCTTCCTGGATCACCACTGAATAATCTACCTTTGGCAACCCGGACTCCCAGGTAAGACAATGCGCTTCCAAAAGTCTTCTCGGTATAATCCCTAGGCAAATTTTAATAGACAGTTGAGAAGCTTACAAAGACATTTTAAAAAAATCTCAAGAGGCAGTAGTTCCCCTGGTTAAAGTTAAATTTGATCTGGTCCCCATAGCATTAATTATGTACATACCTATATTATTTGAGGATTTCTATTAATGCTCAAAAATAAAATTAGAGTTTTGGAAAGTGCTACATATTTAACTTCAGAACTTTCTAGCATGAAAATTCAACATATAACTTTATGTTTTCATGTTGTTTTTATTATTTTTATTTTTCACCCAAAGTTGTATTATTTTTTGTTCATTAGGCGGAGTGCAGTGTAAGAGATAGTAGCCTTTGTTCACTGTGTAGGGAAATTAAGTCTTGTGGTAGGCCAGAACATTCTAGATTACTTCCTTCTTGTGGCTGGAATGGAAGAGGATCACATTGGGCCCTGGATGGTAAGTCAGCTAATGTAGGTATTTTGTCTGACATCTGATGTCACTAACTACATTACTTTTGTTTTCATCACATTTGCTTCTCCACCAGGCTTCACAACTCACAGAACCAGGGAAGGGGGCCTTAGCCATGCCAAGAGCTGATGATAAAAGAACCATATGTTGTTCCTCAAACAGTGATGCAAGGCTTATTGCTATGTCTGCTAGCCTTGCTATGAAAATCTCTCTTAACTCGCCTCTAAAACCTCAAGACATATTTAATGTAAAGAAATACTCCTCCAAAGAAAATGTCCAGGCTATATAACTCACTATGGGCACAAAAGTATTAGCATATTATAATATCCTTTGCTTAATATAAAACAAAAACTATCTGAGCCCATTTGAACTCTCAAGTTATAGATTGTCTCATGGACAACTTCCCAGTCCTGCCAATATCAGAAATCCACATAGTAGAATTAGTATTTTGTGACTCAAGATATAATCTGAAAGCAACTGAGTATTTTTTTAAATGGAGAGACATTGCTTACATTGATGGATGTCTTGCATTTGGGTGGAAGGAACTAGTGATGATTTATGTATCATTTTCTGTGTGCTTTGAATTTTCATCGGTTGGAAGAACATCCACAAAGTCTAATCATTCTTTCATTTCTTTTTGTTATTTATGTTTCATATATCCTTGATAATATGAAAAATCCCTGTAAATTCCCCCTAGGTCCTTTCAATCAGGCATTTCTGTTTTACTGATGCCACAGTGCTTGGTTTGGTATGGTCTTGGTCTTGGTTTATTGACTTTGGTTTTTTGCTTAGATTGCCATTGCCTGTGTGAGGGGGAGTGGAATTAGTTATGACTGAATGGAGGATCTTTCATTCTCAGCCCATAGCCCTTCAGAGGTTTGACTTTCAGTGCTGCCCAGTCCCTTTTAGCCCTCTGATTCATAATCTCCCCACTACATGAGAGGAACTAGTGGGGAACAGAATTAGGGAGCCATCCATGAGCTGTTGCCTTGAGGTTTGGAAAGCTGAAAAAAACTGTGATCAAAGCAAAATGGAAAACTTTTATTATTTTAATTCCTCTCTTACCAAGCTCTTGCTAGCACCTGGTTTTACTGTTCCTTTAACAGGTGGAGGATTTTTCAGATTCTAGATGCAGCAAGGTAAGTGACAATGGATTTTGAGTTTTAACTGAACCCAAGTGAGCTAGAATACATAGACTCTGCCATTGCCCATCAGTTTAATTTCCATACAATAAATAGTTAGGTTTCCACTTGGATAGATTCTTTCCAGGTTTCTTTTTTAGTTTAAAATGGCTGAAATGGCCCAGGCATGCAGTCTCAGGTCTGAAAGCTGACCTAGTTCAGAAGTGGGGTGAAAGTTCAGGGCCAGCATTCCAGTTGGGCAGTAGGTCACTAGCTTCTTTTCCTTTTTGCTTAAATCGGAAGACACTGTGGAGTGTTCTGTTATGAAGACCCCACCCCACTATCAACAAAGCGTTCTCCACGGCGCTTCAGGTGCACCTGCCTGTCACTCAGCTGGATGGTGGTTTAGGAAACAACTAGCTCAGCATTTTATTGAAGGGAGATGAATTATTTGAAAGTATCAGGGCTTATAAAGTATGTACATATGTAGACTTGCAAGGTAGCGTAACCCCATAGGCTAGGGACCTTTGTGACATGAACTCTGCAAGTCTAATCAAACACAGGAAAGTTTCTAACTCTGGGGTGGGGCTGTTGAGAATGAGACAGAATAGTGTCTTTCCAGGCAATGACTGTTCCCGCGAGCTGTGCCGTCAAAATGCCGTCAGTGCTGAGGAGGCTGGGAAAATTGTCAGCCATTTTGTAAATGTGGCTCTCCTAGCTTGGCACCTGGTTTTCTAAGATCATCTTGCTCACCAGTACTGTATTTGGCCTATTCTAGGCTTATTGGCTCCAGAAAGATTTACCAGTGTCTCTACTTTCTCTTCCTACCCATCTATATTATTTGTTTTCAGCCAGATAAGTTAAGAAGACTGAAGCTTATAGCCTTTGGATTCCTCTACTAGAGAAGACTCACTGAAATAGAGTGGGTTGACCATATCTTAGATACCCAGTTTGGCTTTCAGTAGCTGGATTTCCATATTCCCATTAGGGTCTCAATGGATTTATTTGACATCTAAGAAGCATAAATTCAGGGTTTAATTCCATAATCAGGTTATAATTCATTGAGATAAATGGTATAGACACCTATTCACACAATATTAGTACAGGAGGGCATTTGAACATCATGGATTGGGTGTATCATGGTGGCAAGATTACTACGTTTTGCTACTAACTAGTGGAGTGACTGTGCTCAATTCCTATGTCTGCTGTGAGCCTTGACTTCCTCATCTGTCAAATAAAACAGAGGGGGTGACCATTAAGATAATAGCCAATTAACCTAAAGACTATTATCCCTATAATTGCTTTCACAGGGAAAATGTTACAAATTTTTTTTATTTTTGTTTTAAAATTTGCTCCATGATAGAATCATCTCTGTCTTAATAGGCTTGCTATATAACAAAACAAGTCATGACTTACTCTTTATTTTTATTATGGGGCTGGGTAGTTTGACCAGAAACTATTGTCAGAATAATTTACCTGTTTTTAGTTTGTGAGAAAGAAGAGAAGAACACAGATGGTGATATGGAAGAGAATTAGCTTTGGTAAACGTCCATGGGAGCCATTTTTAATTCTGGTGGACTGAATGATGTATGAAAACTATTTGCAAAGCTAGCATGTTTTTCGACCACTAGTAAAATAAAGCAACAATTCATTTGGTAATCCCCATTGTACATTCAGTTTTATAAATATACAAGATTATGATTATCTCTGCCTAATAATTAACAATTTGCATAAATGCTTGCTATTATTTAGTTGTCTGAATGGATTTTCTAATCCAGAGAAAGAAGGGAACAATCAGTGGGAGCCATCCCAAACGCCTTGCATTATTGCCACACACATGCACAATTAACAGCGAGGCTAATTGTTTCAGACCAGAACCTCATTTGTGTTTCTATAGGCAGCAAAAACATTAACTGCCAGAGTGTTTGCAACTCTCTCTCTGTCTCTCTCTTTTTCTATAGCCAGCTGTATTATAAGGTCTGCAGTTGGCTGCAAGAAAATTATTTGCCTGGATTTTCAGGGTATCATTTTGTGATGGAGTTTCCAAGCTTCTACTTAAGTTCACAAGCAATGCCTTGAACAACCAAAAACTGATTTTTAAATAATATTTTAACAGTATGCCTCTATAAATTTAAGGAATAAAAGGATGCTGACACGCAAACCAGTTCTGCTGCTGCTTTTCCATTCTGCTTCATATTTTGTACCTTTAAAATGATTGGCATTAGACCTGCGTATGAGAATCATAAAAAGTCAAGACTGGAGGAGGCCTTTAAGATTACCCTATCAAATTCCCTCACTTTTCAGATGAGTTTGATAGACAGTGATTTGAATATCAATAACAACCACCAAATCAATGATGCCACACTTTTTAAAAAAAACTTTCAAACCCTTGGGAGCTATTGTAGTAAATACATTCGAATGATAACTGATTGTTTTGAAATTATACAACTCTGGCTTCTTTTCCAAAAAATGAATCTGATTTCTTTAAATGTTCATTCATAAATTTAACCTAAACATAGCCATGATGTTGATGGTATATGGGTGAAAGGAGATGTTCTGTCAAAGTACTTTTGTCAATAGGAGACGCTCAACTGATGTACCAGCTCTCTTTCCCTCATACACGGATGATGTCACTAATGTCAGCATATGGAAGTGTTTCTTCAGTGACTGAGAGTATGGGCTTTTAGAGTCAAAATGTTCTTGGGTCCAATCCTGGTGCTGCCTGTCTCTTTCTAGCACTGTGACCTTGAGTCATTTTTTAGCCTCTGAGGACTTTGTATCTTCACATGTAAACACCTAACAGGGTTGTTGTGAGGATTAAATTGAGATCATGCACATCAAGTGCTTAGCACTGCTCCCAGCATATAGTAAACAGTCAATAAGTGGTAATGGTTAGTACCACGATTGTCTTGCACACCTAGTACCAGTCTCATGCAACACTTATATTTCATCTTATAATGGTTTGGAGCACACGCATATAGACCTGTGCACATCAGCATATGATCACATGGAGTTCACAAGGATGGCACCCAGAAGACTGCTGTCCAAGATTATCTGTGACATGTTTAAAAATCCAGTCACTCCTCCAGCTTTAGTGTTCTTGAACTCTTGGTGATTTTGGAACTTTTACACATCTTCTCTTGTTTGAAAGCATTCCTAATTTATCTTGGTTCACCTCCTGTCTTCTCAACACTTTTAAGTTTTCTTGATTGGATCTCTTTTACACACATGAGCGTGTGCACACACGTGCATGCCCACACACACCCCCAGCCTCTCCCCGCTCCCACCCCGCTCCTTTCAGTGGAGCAATTCCCAAGGTCCTGTCATTGATCTGCTTCTCTTCTCTTGCTGTGTGCTCATTCTGGGTAATTTCATCTCCTGACATAGCTTCACCTTTCACCTCTACACTAATGATTCCCAAATTGACCTCTCCTTAACTTATTCCGGAGCTCCAGGCTAGTTCCAATTTCCAATTGCTTGCTGAGCATCTCCAGGGCAGGATATCCTAGGAGGCTGAAGTGTAGTCTGGCTTTTGTCATCCTGCCTCAGGAATGCAGATGGGGGAATCTAGCTTCGACAAGTATTAAGGGTCGAAAACAAGGAAGACATGCTGAGCATTCATCTGAGCAGAAGTAAAAGTAGTCTAAGTTAGGAAAGTGGTTCACACTGAGTTTCCAGGGAAAGCATGACAAGTCAATTGTGAATTTCTATGATTATGAACTGGAGATATAAATTGGCAATTGAAACTTTCAAAGGTGTATATTTTCCAGGGAGAAGAAACAGTTCTCCTAAGTGAAAATTGTGATCAATTTTTAAGTGTTGGTAGTTTGGTATGTTTGAAGAAAGGTTAATTAAAATGATCTTTCTTGGGACAGTCTGTACGGTGAATCTTGCTGCAGTGTTTTGTTATACAAACATACGTGCCCAGAGGAAGGATAATGCCTTCATCCTGAAGGATGAACATGTGGGAATTTTGAGAGCACTGTGTGTATAGACACATACACACAGGCTGGGTCAGACATGCCTGACATTTTGAATGTGTGAAAATAATTCTATCGCATGGTAGATCGATTTTTTTCTTTTATTTATTCTGCAGATATTTACTGGACACCTTCCAGATGCCATGCTGTCTGTGGAACAATGGGCTGTCAATACAGAATGTGTAGTGTCTTTGTCCTTAAGTGTCTAATACAGTTTTCTTTAGTTATATGCAAGTGCATTGAGAGTTTAATTTGGTCTTGAAATATCTGTAGCATATGACAAGTCATTCAAAGACTATAATCTTGCTGAAAGTCATAATGACAAAAGAGGAACTTAAGGGAAATAAAGCCACTGCTAAAGTGGGAAAAGAATGTGCATAAATTCAAATTTATTTTACTTTTACTTCAATTTTATTTTACTTCCTTTAAATTTAGTAAATATTGAATTACTTTGGTTTTTACATTTCAAGTTGGTTCTCAGTGTTTTAGGCCAGAGTAAGAATAATTATGTCTGACCTAAAACTTAATTAGAGCAAAAGATAAACAAATCTTGGTTAATAGTATTGTTGCATAGTGTTGTTAGAACAATTCTTTGTAAATGAGATATTCTTACAGAAACTACAGACCTAGCTTATAACTTTAGCACTGGGAACAATATTCCTTATGAAGGAAGGTAACCTCATTCCCCCATTCCCCAAATTAAGTACAGTCCCCCCAGTTGAATTACTACCTATGGAATATGCAGAGGTCATCAGACCCTCCAAATTGTAATGGTCTAGAAAACTGGGTGAGTTCCATGCCTTCCTGGGTGCACACCAGCTTCTTCTTTAGAAATTTGGCATGGCCCTTTGTTTGCAAGTCTTGTATCAAGTACTGTCAGTCCCAGCTGTTAATTTCAAAGTCCACTTCAAGGTTACCCTCAGGTCCCAAAGATTCCTCATTGCATTTGTAATCTTGCAAATCAAACTTGAGGCCCCAAAAGTCCTCCTATGGACATGCAGATGGCACCATTTCCCTTTTATTGTGCCAGCACCCCCT